CCCGGCACCCCTCACCCCACCGCGGGGCTGCACTCCGCGCCCCGCCGGAAACCTCCCCGGAGCGACCTGCCCGCTGCCCCCAGGTACGACCAGGGGTCGCTGGTTTCTGCCACTGACAGCCTGATTTACAGCAAACGCTTTCCCAACACCCTCACAAGCCGCAACAAAACACCGAGGTGCGCCGGCTGGCTGCTCCTTCTCGTCCTCTCCCCGTATTAAGGAACGCTTTCTGCAGAAAGTTCAGGTGCAAAGCAAACCATTTTTCTACCTGCAGGTTACTTTGCGTTAAACGGCACTTGCTGCCACAATTTAAAAGCCCAGCTCCTTAGCCAAATTTCGTACCACATAAGCAAATAAAACCGAAAACATGAGAGCTGAAATAGAAATCATGCTGAAAACATTGAATCGTTTATGCTGTAAATAAATTCCCTGAACACCTGGTAGGCTATAAATTAAAATGTATAGCTAATACGCTTCTTTGATTTACACTGCCCTTTCGACTAATTAAAAATAACTGTGTCATCCCCTGAAAACAGCCCCCACGCACTCATAGGTCTATTGCTCATGTTAAAGGTAAAACGTCCATCAAATATTTTCAGAATTTCCTCTCCCCCAGAAATTTAAAAAAAAAACAAAAAACCCAACCCTTACAGACTCAGGAAAAATAAATAACCTTTACAAACTTGGAATACTGAAGTTTCTTCACAATTTATTACTTCACCTTTTCCTTGAGTTACAGCCCTCTGTGCCTCTCAGAGATCACCCTGGCCAACAGTGGTTGATCTTCTCAGCAATCGCTTCCAAAACTATGTTCTATCCTTAAGAAAAAGAAAAAAAAAGTGAAATAAATCAAAAAAGGAATACTTTTCAAAGGAAATCCAGCCCTACAGAGTTTTTATTCTGCCTGCAACAGATTAGTGCTAAATAAAGGGTGTTAAAAGCAGGTGCTTCTCTCCCTTGCTGCTCTTTTTATTATGAAGAACAGAAGCTTCTCCTAATATATATAGTGAGGGAGACCCTTCTCTATTGCTTTTATTGAAAAGACTAAACTTGTGACATCACTAACCACCTTCCTATGGCTGAGTTTGCCTCATCTCTGCC